TCTGTCAAAATGATTTTTTGAGAAATACTGAAAGTTTCAAAGTGTTCTTCGTTCTAGAAGTATTCTAAAATGTGAAAAATACAACCCTGGGGGTACAAAATGACCCCAGGACGTACGAATACAGTTAAACACCACGATGCAGGAGGGGAAGGTCAGATGCTGGGCATTAGGATTATCCATTAAAGGGTTAAGCTAACATTTTCAGAAAGAACTACTTGTATCATAAGGTCGCTTTTAAGGACAAGCGGGCTAACCCAAATTTCGGGGTTTTCCAGAAATCTTGACCTACACTAAAAATGGGCATTGCCCTACCTATAGACTATAGGAGAAGGTTGGTTTCATTGGTGTGGTATATATTTGTTTGGTTATAGAGAAAACTCTCCATGCCTTTTAAAGATAGATTACATGGGTCCAAAAACTTTACCTTCGATTTTCTCAAAGCAGCTTTTTTCGGGATAGCCCCCTTGTGCTGAAAAGCGACCATGTTGTATTTACAAATCTACAATACCAATTTAAAAAAAAAATCCTATCCGGGAATTTAGGCTTACTACAATGACAAGGATAATGCAAGTACACGAAATGTATACACTAAAGTGCGGTCAACAATTCGTGGCGCGACTTATTACTTATTGTCCAATATTTCCTCAACCATCGAACATAGACTCTCCAACTTTTGCACAACGACTTGTTTAAATTCGCCTCTACAGATCAATATCTTTGTAAACACCTGTTAGCTCTATTCTTGAAATAACCTTTATAAATACTACTAAAAATCCCAGTAGGTAGTTTCCACATATTTTTAAAGGTTTACAGCTGGGGTGATATCGCTTTTAAAGGCAAGTTCATCATGGTTTTCTTATCGAGACATTTTGCTTATTGGACACATGTTTTGAGAACATTTAGTGCAAAAATGTGTTTCTTGTAACAAGTTTTGCTACATGTGTCGGCTCTGTTTCTTCTTCCTTAGGTGGGTGTGCACATCCACCGACCCGTCTGATCTGGAGAAGACCGACGAAATCGCAGCTACTATCATAGAGGAACTCTCCAAGAAGGAAGGTAGGGTATTTGTTTGTCTTCTCTCTCTCTCTCTCTCTCTCTCTCTCTCTCTCTCTCTCTCTCTCTCTCTCTCTCTCTCTCTCTCTCTCTCTCTCTCTCTTGTGTGAGTG